AAGTTCTTTATAGATTTTGGATACTAACCCTTTATCTGATATGTCCTTTGCAAATATCTTCTCCCATTCTGTCGGTTGCCTTTTAGTTTTGCTGCTTGTTTCCTTCGCTGTGCAGAAGAGTTTTATTTTCATGAGGTCCCAGTAGTTCATGTTTGCTTTGGTTTCCCTTGCTTCCAGAGATGTGTTGAGTAAGAAGTTGCTGCGGCCAAGATCAAAGAGATTTTTGCCTGCTTTATCCTTGAGGATTTTGATGGCTTCCTGTCTTACATTTAGGTCTTTCATCATTTTGAGTTTATTTTTGTGTATGGTGTAAGAAAGTGTTCCAAGTTCATTCTTCTGCATGTCGCTGTCCAGTTTTCCCAGCACCACTTGCTGAAGAGACTGCCTTGATTCCATTGGATATTCTTTCCTGCTTTGTCAAAGATTAGTTAGCCATACATTTGTGGGTCCATTTCTGGGTTCTCTATTCTGTTCCATTGATCTGAGTATCTGTTCTTGTGCCAGTACCATACTGTGTTGGTGATTACAGCTTTGTAATACAGCTTGAAGTCTGGGATTGTGATGCCTCCTGCTCTGGTTTTCTTTTTCAAGATCGCTTTGGCTATTCGGGGTCTTTTCTGGTTCCATATAAATTTTAGGATTATTTATTCTAGTTCTGTGAAGAATGCTGGTGTTACTTTGATAGGGATTGCATTGAATATGTAGATTGCTTTGGGTAGTATCGACATTTTAACAACATTTGTTCTCCCTATCCAGGAGCATGGAATCTTTTTCCATTTTTTTGTGTCTTCTTCAATTTCTTTCATAAGCCTTCTATAGTTTTCAGTGTATAGATTTTTCACCTCTTTGGTTAGATTTCTTCTTAGGTATTTTATGGTCTTTTGTGCAACTGTAAATGGGATCTATTCCTTGGTTTCTCTGTCGCTTCATTGTTGGTGTATAGGAATGCACCCGATTTCTGTGTGTTGATTTTATATCCTGCAACTTTGCTGAATTCATGAATCAGTTCTAGCAGTTTTTTGGTGGAATCTTTTGGGTTTTCCCTGTAAAGTATCATGTCATCTGCGAAGAGTGAAAGTTTGACCTCCTCCTGGCCAATTTGGATGCCTTTTATTTCTTTGTGTTGTCTGATTGCAGAGGCTAAGACTTCCAATACTATGTTGAATAACAGTGGTGAGAGTGGACATCCCTGTCTTGTTCCTGATCTTAGGGGGAAAGCTCTCAGTTTTTCCCTATTGAGGATGATATTAGCATTGGGTCATTCATACATGGCTTTTCTCGAGGTATGCTCCTTCTATCCCTACTTTCTTGAGGGTTTTTATCAAGAAAGGATGCTATATTCTGTTGAATGCTTTCCCTGCATCTATTGAGAGGATCATATGGTTCTTGTCCTTTCTTTTATTGATGTGATGAATCACGTCCTTTTGCGGATATTGAACCAGCCCTGCATCCCAGGTATAAATCCCGCTTGGTCATGGTGAATAATTTTTTTAATGTTTTGTTGGATCCGAGATTTTTTATTTTTATTTATTTTTTGCTTCTTGAGGTAGGCTTGCCTTCCTATAAACTTCCTTCTTAGAACTACTTTTGTTGTATCCCCCAAATTTTGGACCATTGATTTTACTTGTTTCCATGTAACTTTTGATTTCTTGGTTAACCCATTCGTTGTTTAGTAGCATGTTATTTAACCTCCGTGTATTTGTGCTCTTTCCAGATTTTTTCTTGTGGTTAATTTCTAGTTTCAGAGCATTGTGGTCAGAAAAGATGCATAGTATGACTTTGATTTTCTTGAATTTGTTAAGGCTTGTTTTGTGACCTAATATGTGATCTATTCTGGAGAATGTTCTGTGTGCACTTGGAAAGAATGTGTATTCTGTTGTTTTAGGATGAAATGTTCTTAATATATCTATTAAATCTATCTGGTCCAGTGTGTCATTCAAAGCCACTGTTTCCTTGTTGATTTCCTGTTTGTATGATCTGTCCATCAATGTCAGTGCAGTGTTCAAGTCTCCTACTATTATTATATTATTATCTATTATTTCGTTTGTTTGTTAGTAACTGTTTTTATGTATTGGGGTGCTTTCATGTTGGGTGCATAAATATTTATAATTGTTATATTCTCTTGTTGGATTGTCCCTTTCATTATTATACAGTGTCCTTTGTCTCTTGTTACAGTCTTTGTTTTAATGTTTATTTTGTCTGATAAAAGTATTGCTACTCTGGCTTTCTCTTGACATCCATTTGTATGAAAAATGTTTCTCCAACCCCTCACTTCCAATATGCAGGTGCCTGTAGGTCTGAAATAAATCTCTTGTAAGTAGCCTATAGACAGGTCTTGTTTTTTGTTTTGTTTTGTTTTGTTTTGATCCATTCTGTCACCCTATGTCTTTTGGTTGGACCATTTGGTCCATTAACATTCAAACTAATTACTGATAGGTATGTATTTAGTGCTATTTAGTTACTTGTTCAGTGTTTTTTTTCTATAGATTTTCTCTAATCCTTTCTCCCTTGCTCTCTTCTCATGATAAGTTGACTTTTTTAGTGATACACTTGGATTCCTTTCTCTTTATTCTTATGTATCTATTAGTGGTTTTTGATTTGTGGTTACCATTAGGTGTGTACTTAAGCTCTTCTGCATATAGCAGTTTATATTAAGTTGATGGTTACTTAACCATCTGTACTCTTAACCCATTCTGTACTCTTCTCCCTCCCACATTTTAAATATATGTCCTATATCTATAGATATTTACTTCCTTTTATTTTATGAATCTCTTGACTGATTTTTAGAGAAGTACTTGTTTTCACTGATTTTGTGTCTCTACTTTTCATACTCTCACTTACGGTCTTTCCTTTCCACTCAAAGAGTCTCTTTTAATATTTCTTGTAGGGCTGGTTTATTGGTCATGAACTCTAATAGTTATTGTCTGAGAAACTCTATATTTCTTTCTACTCTGAATGATAACCTTGCTGGATAGAGTATTCTTGGCTGCAGATTTTTCTCTCTCGGTACTTTTGAATATATTATGCCACTCCCTTTGGCCTGAAAACTGTCTGCTGAAAAATCTACTGATAGCCTAATGGGGTTTTCCCATATGTAACTACTTCTTTTCTCTTGCTGCTTTAAAAATGTTTTTCTTTACCATTACTTTCTGCTATTTTAATTATTATATGTCTTGGTGTAGACCTCCTTGAGTTGAATTTCTGGGGGAATCTCCGTGCCTCTTATTTCCTTTCCCAGATTAGAGAAGTTTTCAGCTATTATTTCTTCAAATAAATTTTCTATTCCCTTTTCTCTCTCTTCTTCTTGAGATCCCTATAATGTGAATGTTACTATGTTTGATAGAATCACTGAGTTCCCTAAGAGTATTCTTAATTTGCATAATTTTCTTTCCTCTTCTTTGCTCAGCTTAGTTATTTTCCATTACTCTGTCTTAGAGATCATTAATTTGTTCCTCTGCTTCATTTAGTCTACTATTTACTCCATCAAGTGTATTATTTATTCATTTATTTTGAGAGAGAGAGAGAGAGAGAGCATAAGCAGGGGAGGGGGCAGAGAGAGAGGGAGAAAGAATCCTGCTTGGGGATTGCTTTTGGTGGTGACCATGGTGGCAAAGCATAAGCAGCAAAAGGAGAACCTAGGATAGCTTTCCTGAAGCGGGGCTTGAACTCACAAACTGTGAGATCATGACCTAAGCCCAAACCAAGAGTGGGATGCTTAACCGACTGAGTCACCCAAGTGCCCCCTTTATAAAAAATTTTTTGTTAAGTTTATTTGTTTATGTTGAGAGAGACAGAGAGAGAGAGAGAGAGAGAGAGAGCCTCAAGCGTATTTTAAATTTCATTTATTGTGTTCTTGATCTCTGATTGGTTCTTTTTTATATCTGTGTTAAGGGTCTCACAGATGTCTTCCACTCTTCTCCAGTCGAGTATCTTTATAACCATTATTTTAAATTCTCTTATCGGGCATATTACTTATGTCCATTTCGCTTAGGTCTCTCGCTGTGGTTTGCTCCTATTCTTTCATTTGGGACATATTTCTCGGTCTCATTTTGTCTAACTTTCTGTGTCTGTTTCTGTGTGTTAGGAAAGTCAGCCACTTCTCTTGCTCTTAACAATAACAGCCTTATAAAGAAGTCCTGTAGTGCCCTGCAATGCAGTGTCCCATGTTCCTCAGGGCCTGGCGCTTCAGGGAGTGTCTCCTATGTGTGTTGCATGTGCTCTGCTTTTGAGTTTTGCCTCTTTTTCCTACAGTACCATTGTCTACAGAGGCTCTCTTTGTCTATTGGTCCCCAGCAGGGGTGGGGTGCATTTTAGCAAGGTGTGTGGTGGTCTGCTTACAAAATGAGGCCTGCCCCTGCCGCTGCCAGAATTAAGGTCCCGCAATACACACAGGTTAGATGTGGTACTGGCAGGGTTTGCATGAGAAGGGCCCACAGCACCAAGACTGAGGCAGGTATGACTGGGAAGGGCAGATCTGCTGAAGCAAGCACTGCTTGACGTAAGCAAGTTAGGTAGTGAGTGTCCAAGCCCTGCTGGTTCCTGCGGGTGGCTGTGTGTTTGTGCTGAGCAGCAGGGGAGGGAAATGATGCTGCTAGCTCCTTTCTTCCTGGAGGGGTCTCTCCAGGTCCCGCTCTGAGATGAGCAAACACTCTCCCTCTCATCTTCTCCCAGCATTTTCCCAAGTCCTGGTCCTACAGCGTATCTGCACAGGCTGTTTGTCATGCTGTCTCTTTAAGGATAGGGATTCCATTTCCTAAAACCCTCTGGGATCTCCCAGAGCCAAGCCCACCAATTTTTAAGATTCCAAGCTTTAAGTCCTGCTGGTTATAAAAACTCATGAAATTCAGCCCCTCTTGCTTTCAAAGGCAAATGTCCTCCCTGCTCATGGGCTCTTCAGTGTGAACGTCTGTCTTTTGCCCTTCTCTGTGCCACCAGCTCCCTCCCCACCGTGTATGGTCATGATCCATTTCACTCCCAGACTGCATCTTTGCCCTTCTTACCTTCTTTGATGTGGCCTAATTTTAGTTTTGGAGTTTGTTCTGCCAGTCTTCGGATCATTTTTCTGAGTGATTTATGCTGATGAGAGTGTTATCTGGTTGTATCTGTGGGACAAGGCAAGCTTAGGGTCCTTCTACTCTGCCATTTTCCCAGCCAACCTCTTAAGCTTAGCTTTCTTGACATCGCCTAGGCCCTGAGGTCCTGCACACAGGTCCTGAGGCTTCTGAGCCTGGGAGAAAGAATAAAAAAGAATAAAATTTATTTTACTTTTGGCTCCTGCAATAGCCAACTTTATTGCCCATGGGTGAATTGGTATTTGTTTCACATGGAGAGCAGAACAAAGTCAGGAGATAATACTCAAAGATTGACATTCAAAATGAGATTATGTAGAAGACAACAGTTTTAGAAGCCAGATAATTGTTCTGGAAAGAAAGGAAAAGAAAAGGGATTTATAAATTCTCTTTAGCTCCTCCTTTAACAATTCAACAACTAAAACTGGAGAACTCAGCAAAAATTCCTTCATGGTACAGAATGACTGTCCTATAAGACTGTGATGTCGAGGTCTACTCTGTCATAGAAGGGTATGTATGATTTAGAGGAAGTAAAAATAAATGGCCTCCCTTTTCCAGCTTTCACATTTTGCTACCAGATGTGCTTTGTTAGATCTGCATGGCACAGTAGTTTTATAATAATAAAATTTTTAAAATAAGAAATACAAGAAGAATTCACATAAATATCCAGACTTCTAGATATTTTACGGCACACATGTGGTATTTTTAAGCATCAAGGATTTGTCAATACTGAACCCGAAATACCCCATGGCTACAATCCACCAGAACTCAATACCTGCTGTCCTTTCCAACTAGGGTCACCCGGTTTCTTACAGTCTCCACTACTCTATATTTTCTCCCAGATACAACTAATTAAATCTAATTTACATTATTTGTTGGCATTTGAGCTTGGGTCTGACCTAAGAGATGATATCAGACATGTATAGCAGAAAGGAGTATAGTGAGAGTGGAAGGTACAAGAGTGAGTTTTTGAGGCATAATTCCTAACTTCAAACTCCACTCCTCATTTAGTAGATGTGTGGCTTCTGTGCCCTATTTCTTCATCTATAAACAGGAAAATACTATCTTAGGACTGTGGTAATAGTTACACGAGATAATATACCCCTAAAGAGCTTGCTACAGCGACTGGTACGTCAGAATTTCTCTACAGATGTTAGCTGTTCTTAATGACATCATTTCCATACTCATATCTACATCATCTGAACACATTTGGTTACTCGCCTTCTCTTTCCCTGTCACTCGAAATTCCTTGGTAATGGTGCCTAGCCAAAGTTCAAATCCTCCTTCTCAGGCATTGGCCCTGTACCCCTGGAAACATGAAATTTTCAGTATTTTGTGGCAAGGATCAAAGGCAGACACTCTGCCCTGCTGCCTGTCTCAGGATTTTAGCTGAGGTCCCAGGAAAGTCTGCTATAACAGCTGGTGTTCTAGATCTAAGACAGAACCCAAACCTAAGTGCTATAGACCTTCTTTGTGTTTCTAGATGAGAATCTACATCCTTTAACAAAATACTACATGTCTGAGTTGTGAGTTTATAAGCTATCTTCATATTCCCCTCTTCTCTAACCCTTTCTGACAGAGGCTTGGGGCCTTACAAACCTGGTCACTACCTACCTATGTACATACAGGTGACTCTGATTGTATCTAATCTCACCTAGCAGTCACATCCAGAGTATCAGTAATTTTCCTTTTACAAGGAGATAACCTGTATTCCATCACAAATTAGAATAAGACAAATCAAAACCAAAAGCAAATGAAGCTATCATGGCATAGAAAAATCACAGAATAGAAGATTAAGAAGAAAAGAGCAAATGAAGAAAGAAGTCTGACTCAGTCTTACTCTGCTCAAAAGAATATTCTGTCTTTGAAGCCAAATCTCTTGGAACCACTGAAAAGCACTTTCAGAAATTAATTATGCAGCATCATTTCTCAACCAAATACGTTTTAGTTTTTAACCAAGTGCGTTATTTTTAAACACATTTATTTAAACTTCTATAAAAATTTTAAATCATAATGTAACATATGCCTGCTATAAAATTTTAAATAATACAGGAATGTAAAGGGGTGCTTGGGTGGCTCAGTTGGCTAAGCATCTGACTCTTGATTTCCACTCAGGTCAGGATCTCATGGTTCATGAGATCAAGCACCACATCAGGCTCTGTGCTATCAGCACAGAGCCTGCTTGGAATTCTCTCTCTCCCTCTTGCTCTCTACCCCTCCCCCTGCTCGTGCACATGCACACTCTCTCTCTTTAAATAAAGTTTTAAAGAAAATACAGGAATATAAAAAGAAGTTGATGATATTGCCATCCTCCAAAGCTCCCTCAAACCACATATTTTCAAGGTAATCAGTTTACAGTTACCAGTTTGTGTGATTACAGCAGTTGGAGTTAAAGTCCTAAGATGACAACCAGAACAGGGAGCCTCCTCCACCAGCACAATGGAGACTCCAGTAGACATGGTCCCTCTGACACACTTTGTCTGGTATGCACCCCCCCTCCCCCTGCTGGGTAATGTTGTGATTGCCACAGAATGAGGCTGCTCTTGCTGGTTCCTTTCGACAGAGAAGCAGAGGCTCTGCCTCAATGCTCTCATTCATGCAGTAAATATCTACTAATCCTACCTCTGAGTACCAGGCACTGTCCTAGGAGCTGGGAAAACAATGACAGATATGATAGTCATGGTTCCCACTCTCAAGAAATGAATATGCAAGTAAGTAAAAGAATAATTATGAAGTGTGTTTACGTGCTATGAACAAACCAAAGAGAATACTGGAACATAAATACAAAAATCACAGGTGGTCACAGATGAGCTCTGGGGACGGCAACATTAAGAGAGAGAAGGATGGTGGCACTTGGGTGGGTCAGTCAACTGAGCTTTCAACTTCGGCTCAGGTCATGATCTGGCAGTTCGTGGGTTTGAGCCCCGCATCGGGCTCACGGCTGTCAGTGCAGAGCCTGCTTGGGATCCCCTGCCCCCTCGCTCCCTGCCCCTCCCCTGCTCATTCTCTCTCCCTCTCTCTCTCTCTCTCTCAAAAATAAATAGGGGAAAATGGAAGCGTCTGAGCTATACTTTGGGTAGATTGTAGGTGATCTACTAGAATGGAGAAAAGGGTGGATATCAATGACTCTCAGGTATCCGGTATGTGCAACTGAGTGTAAGTGTCATCACTCACAGGGAGAAATCCCCTCGCTGAAGAATTCTGTCATTGTGGCATGAAGAAGGGAGGTAATTCAACTTTGTACATATTATATTTGAAAGTAAAGTGAGACATTCAAGTAAAAATGGCAAGTAGACAGTAGCTATGTGATCATGTAGCTCAGGAGAGAAGACTGGGATGTAAAATTAAGATGGCAGGATATGGGAGAAGGCGGTAGGTGTGATGGTTAATTTTAGTGTCAGCTAGGCTGGGCTAAGGGGTACCCAGATAGCTGGTAAAACATTCTGTCTGGGTGCATCTGTGAGGATGTTTCCAGAAGAAAGTAGCATTTGAATCAGTAGACTGAGTAAAGAAGATCACCTTCACAAATGAGGGTAGATACCATCCAATCCATTGAAGGCCTGAATAGAACAAAAAAGCAGATGGGCAAAGCAGATGGCTTAAGCCAGTACAGCCATCGAAGATCCTGGTTCTCAGGCCTTTGGACTCAGATTGAATTGCACCACTGGCCGGGTTCTCCAGCTTGCAGATGACTAATTGTGGGACTTCTTGGCCTCCATGATCACATGAACCAATTCCTATAGTAAATAAATAATTATATATTTTTAAAGTTGTAAATATGGCTTCCATATAAATATAACATATACATACACATCTGTATTAATCTCCTTACTAGATCTGCTTCTCTGACTAATAAAGATTTTGGTACTGGGGTATCTGGGTGGCTTGGTCGATTAAGCATCTGACTTTGGCTCAGGTCATGATCTCACGGTTCGTGGGTTCAAGCCCCATGTTGGGCTCTGTGCTGACAGCTTGGAGCCTGGAGCCTGCTTTGGATTCTGTGTCTCCCTCTTTCTCTGTCCGTCTCCCACTTGCACTCTGTTTCTCTCTATCTCAAAAATAAACATTAAAAATTTTTTTAGTAAAAAAAAAGATTTTGGTACTGACGGTGATTCTAAAGGAGCAGAACTGTAAAGATGAGTATTCTGAATTAGTTCTGGGGTTTCTGAAATCGGCTCTCTAATCCGGTGAGATTTAAAAAAAAAATGTTTTTAATGTTTATTTATTTTTGAGAGAGAGAGAGCACAAACAGGGTAGAGGCAGAGAGAGAAGGAGACAGAATCTGACAGGCTCCAGGCTCCAAGCTGTCTGCACAGAGCCCGATGCGGGGCTCGAACCCATGAACTGTGAGATCATGACCTGAGCCAAAGTCAGACGCTTAACCAACTGAGTCACCCAGGTGCCCCTCTAATCTGATTAGATTTAAAGACACTAAGGACTCTATTTCCAGTAGTAAAGAGTGCAAAGATAGTTGATTGCATAATCTGGCAATAAAGATAAGCAAAATATCTCCACTGGGCACTCATTAATTACTTACAAGAAACAAGACTAAAATGGCTATGTGTACTTTCAGACATTTTCAGAAAACTAACAAATAGGATAAGATTGGCTAGTTGCTCCCAAGATCACTAGACAACGTGGGGAAAGAAAAGGATGAGTTCAGAGATTTGAATGTCCAGGTCCTGGGCCACATAAATGACTGAGAACTTCATGTGTGCCCCAAAGGAGACCTTTTATCTCCTCTAGCTGCAGGGCTGAAATTGCTGAAAATCAAATGCAGACCCTCATCCTACAAGTGGCTGCATTACGATGTAACTTGAACTCCTGGTCTTTCAAAGGCTCTACTGTTACAAAGAGGTCATTAATTGAGAAAGAATAAGTTAGAATGATGGAGGTGGGGACATCGAACTGCTAAATTTTGAAGAGTCTTCTCGGCTGGTGGAAGACTCCTCCCTGTCCCCAGGGGAACTGACTTCCCCACCCTCAGCTGAAGTGTTTCACCCAACTGCAGTGGCACTGGCCTCCCCAGACCCAGTGGCAGCAGTATCCTCATGTCCAGTAGTGTCAGCTGTTCCACCCCCATCTGAGGGGATTAACCCTGCATTGACTGAGGAAACTATAATGGCCACCCCTGAGGCAGCTGCCTTACAAGATAATACAGATTCTCCTCAGGATCCACCCCACCACACCCCTTTGCTTCTAGACCTAGAACTAGAATCAAGTCCTAGCAGGCCACTTAAGGTGAGGTGACCCATGTGCTATACTCCAAAAGAAAGAAGTATTTGATTTTTATAATCCATACAAGCAGAAATCTGGGGCACATGTGTGGAAATGGATACTAAGGGTATGGGATAATGATGGAAGGAACATAAAGTTGGATCAGGCTGAAGTTATTGATATGGGCACACTAAACAGAGATTGTGCATTTAATTTTGCAGTTTGGGAGTTAGAAAGGCAGTTAGAGGAAGGGATTCAAAGGCTTAGGGAGATTGGAATGTCAGAGTGCATTGTGATTTAAGACTTACTTACCCACAGGGTTTGGTGGGGGGCGAGGGGGGGGGAGATGGGGGGTGCTCAGACGTACGTCTTCTCACCACTACTTTGACAAATAAATTTGTGAGGGGAGCCCCAGCATCCTCGAGGGGCTCTATGATCACCCTTCTCTTATAGGACAGAACTTACAGTAGAAACTGTAGTCACAACTGGAAAACCTAAATGCATTGGGACAAATTGGACCCCAGGGTGGCAGAAGCCAAGTGGTGACACCCCAACACCATCAGCAAGGTGGGCCTGGTTACTGCAAGGGACAAGAGAGCCAAAGCAGCAATCTGATAGTTTGACTTACACAGACTTATAGCTTTGGCTAGTTAATTATAGTGTTCCTACAAGTGAAATAGATAGAAAATCTAATAAATTCTTACTTGTTCTATACAAGCAGGAAAGTTCTACATCGGTGAACAAAAGTCTAACTTGAATCATAAAAACAGGATCAGGGACTCCTCAATCGTTCATTGACTTGAGCAAGTTTACAGACTCAGAATCCTTTGAATGAAGGGGGTGTCTCCTTCTTCTTGAAGTACATTATTGAAAATGTATACTGTCATTATTCCTCCCAGCCTTGCTCAAAGGGACCTACGGCCTTTTACCAGGGTAACTGTGAAGTGGGGAACAGGAAATATTCAGACCTTTCAGGGATTACTAGAAACTGGCTCTGAATTGACACTAATTCCAGGAGACCCAAAACCAGTCAGAGCAGGGGCTCAGGAAGGTCAGGTGATCGATGGAGTTTGAGCTCAGGTCAATTTCACAGTGGGTCCAATGGGTCCCTGAACCTTCCTGTGTTTACTTTTCCAATTTCAGAATGCATACTTGGAATAGACATACTTAGCTGGCAGAATTCCTTATTGATTCCCTGACTATGGAATGAGAGCTATTATGGCAAGAAAGGTCAAATAGAAACCATTAGAAATGCCTCTACCTAGGAAAACGGTAAACCCAAAGCAATCCTTAGGAGGGATTTCAGAGGTTAGTGCCACCATCCAGGATATAAGGGATGCAGGGGCAGTGATTCCCACCACATTCCCATTCAACTCACCTAAACACTGGACCATGGGATACCAAGTTACCATGAAACCTGAGCTGCCCAGCATGAACTGGGTATTATCTGATCCACCTGCTGATTTTTAGTCCCATTAAAAATCATCTTAGTCAAGATGGTCTAATAAGGACCAGATTTATCCTCCTGCCTAAAGAAACTCAAAAAATGAATAGAATATAGTACATAGTTTTCAAGGCATTGAATATCAGGTAACGTAAGTCAGTGATTCCTGAAGCATGGAAAATTAAGCGAGGTGAGCCATATGACTATGACTGTACCATCTTACACCTGGAGAATTCGCAGGCTAAGGACGTGTGCCTGAATTGAAGAGGCAAAATTGACAGTCTGGAGAGACCAAGATGGCTAGAGCTCACAGAAAAGGGAACTGGAGAAAAGAGTACAGAGAGAACACAGATCTGGAGAGGATCTCTCTCAAGTATTCAACTGAGTACTGATTGGCACATGTGTGAACAAACTACACAAAGCAGGAAAAAGCACGATAAAAAGCACAGTGCTTATTCCCTGGGGCAGAGTGAAAAATCTCACAGTCAAACACAAAGAAATCCACACCAAGACACATCATAGCCGACCTTTTAAAAACTGCAGACAAAGAGAAAAGTCTTGAAAGCAGCAAGAAAGAAATGACATTTTATCCACAAGGGGAAACAATTCAGTGGTAAGATTTCTCATCAGAAACCACGGAGGCTAGAAGGAAGTACATTTTCCTATTGAAAGAAAAGAATGGGTAGATCCTATATTCAGCAAAAATATACTTCAGGAATGAAAGGGAGACACAAGACATTCTAAGATGAAGAAAACTAGGAGAATATGTTGCCAGTAGACTGACCCTAAAAGAATGGCTAAAGGAAGTACTTAGAAAATGCTGTTCTTGGGACATCAAGAACAAAGATAAAACATCATAAGAGAATGGATAAACACAATAGACTTTCCTTCCTCATTTGAGTTTTCAAAATTACATTTGACAGAGAAAGCAAAAATTATAATATTGTCTGATGTAGTTCTTGATGTATGAAAAGGAAATATTTAAAACAATTAAAAATGGAGGATTATATTATAAAGGGACATAAAAGGACAAAGGGATCCTATACTGCATTCCAACTGGTAAAATGGCAACACCTATAGACAGTGATAAGTTGTCGCAGACTATGGGTCTGGAGTTCTTTCTTATCCAGCAAGAGAGAAGACACAGAATTGAATACGAGAGTGGCTAATGTCCAGGAGACAAGAGCCCCAAACAGGAGTTTTGTCTCCGTAATTATGGACCCACATGGTGAATGTGAAGAAAACAAGATCTTACACACGTGAATGTGGAGAAAACAATCAGACAGTAATCATTAACTTGTGTGTTGTAAGAAGCAAAGAGTCTTGGGGGCAAAGTGGGGTTTGTGATCAATGTACAATAGTATATTGGTATCAGATGAAAAGTAATTTCCTGCAGGTGATATAACAAGTTACTCGTGATCCCATTACAATATCTCACTAGCTAACCTTGGGTGCTTTCACCCCGTGGTGGCAGCTTTCTGTCCTAAGCTTTTTTCTAACCCATTTATGTAAGTAGAACATATTTCCCCACAATAAGTTATGCATATATAACACCTCGAGCAACCACTAAAGGACCTATACAAAGAGAGTCACTCAAAAACATTATAGATAAATTAAAATGGAGGTTTCAGTTCAAGCCAGTGATGTAGTAGGATCCTGCACTCAACCTCTTCCCACAGACATACAAAATCTATATATGGAGAAAGATCCTCTGAGAGAAACCCAAAACTAGCTAAGCAGCTCCTACATGTTGGATAAAAAAACAAAAAAAACATAACATAACATGAAGGGGAGGAGAAACTGAGACATGTCATAAATGTCCCCTTCTCCCACAACACACAGCAACTTATGATCAGGAGAGAACTCACAAACCCAAGTTTCTCCTTGAAGAGTGAAGGGTTTGAACCACACACCTGGTACCCCAACTTTAAAGACCTGCACCTGAAAGACAGTCCCCAAAACATCTGGTTTTGAAAACCAATAAGGCTTGTGTCCATGAGACCCACAAGGCTGTTTCAACTAAGAAACAGTTCTTAAAAGGCTTGTGCAGACTCACCCACTCCAGAGCCCAG